TCATTGCTGGAAGATTTTAGCCTCAGACTTACTGCCACACTCCTCAACAATGATCTTGTCCACATTCTCTGATTGGGTACGTGGATAACACAGGAATTACCTGGCTTCTCTTAACTTACTTTCCTTCTTCCCAATTATCCGCTTTACCTCAGCCACCTGCTCCCATGGCCACACGCAGAATTGGTATTATTAACTATACTACCTCCCAGGTCATGATTTCTCCCCTACTCACTCTATCTAGTACCCATACTCTAACCTTTTCTCAGACCCTCACCTCTTGTGGTGTCGCTTTCTTGATTAAACTTCAATAGTCAATCATTGCTGCCTTTCCTTGCAGCCAAGAAGTTTTCTGTTACTCCTTTTCTAATACTACCCAATAAAATTCCTTTTCTGGTTTAGTCCAATCTCTATCTACTCTGCGCCTGTGCTCAGACTGCCAGAAAGGGCTAAAGAGCAGCATACAATTGTTTCAGCTAGTTTCACTCTAGAGGCATGACCATGAAGTGCATGTGGGTAGTTGGTGGTGGCCAGCTATTCTAGATGATTAGTTCATTCTTTTCTGTCTTTCCTTGAACAGCCAACAAGTCCACGACTCTTCCTCTCTCTTCTCTCTCAGGTGATGCCTGATGCCCTTGTTTCCTATTTTACTAAGAAAATAGAATCCAACATGAGAGAACTTCCATATGATTCCACCACCATAGCCACCAACTTACCTACACATGTGCCTTAGTGTTCCAGGATTTCACATGCTCCTTATTCTTCTCCTATTTCACCATCTCTTTTCTCAATATCCTTTACTGATCCTTCTTGTCTTCTTTACCTCAAATTTTTGAAATGTCAGAGGGCTCAAATTTCTAACTTCTGTTTTTTTATATACACTCCCTTCTCACTTGCTAAGTGACATTCAGGTCCATGGCTTTAAATACTATCTGTATGCTGATGAATGCCAAATGTATCTCTCCAGATTTCTAATGCTATCTCAAATCTAACATGCAAAAAACAGAACTTAATCTTCATCACATCCCCAAACCTCTTCTCTCAGAGTGCTCCCAGTAATTTGCAGCTCTATCACTCCAGGCCTGGGTACTTAGGCACCGTTGACCTCCCTTTTTGACCTTACATTTCACATCCAATATTCAATCCATTAGCAAATTCTATTGTCTTTCCCTTCACAATATATGCATTATTGGACCACTTTCTCAAACTCTCCACTGCAGTTTCTCTAGAACTATTGTTTTGAATAATGCCATGCTCCTCATTAGTTTGTCATGCTCCCCACCCTGTTCTCTTTAGTCCATTCTCAATACAACAGCCACAGTGGCCCTATTAAAGGTGGTCATATGATGCTATCCCTCTGCTCAAAATGTTCCAATGCCTTTTCATCTCACAAAGAGTAAAAGCCAGGGTTGTTAAAATGGACTAAAATTCATTTGCTGTTCCTCACCTGCTACTTTTAAAAAAACAAAACAAACAAACAAACAAACAACCTTGTTCTGTACCACTCTTCTACTTGCAGACTGTACTCATATCAAATTAGCCAAAACCCTAACCTAAGCATGCTCATGCCTCAGGATCTTTGCACTTGATGTCTCCACTTCCAGGAATGCTTTGCCCTTAGATATAAGATTAGCTGACCCATCACATTCTTCAAACTTCTGTTCAAGTACCACTATCTCAGTAAGACATCCTTCAAGCCTATATCAGCCTATAGAGTGCAGTAGTCTCTCCTTACCTCTGGTGCTCTTTGTTTCCTCTTACTCCGTTGTAGTTCTTGCTACGGCCTTTACAACTTGACATTAGTCTGTTCATTGAAAGCCTATATAGGGCAGTAGTCTCTCCTTACCTCTGGCGCTCTTTTTTCCCTCTTACTCCGTTGTAGTTCTTGCTACGGCCTTTACAACTTGACATTAGTCTGTTCATTGATTTAGTCATTCACTTGTTCACTCACGTCATGTGTCTTTCTCTCCCCTCTCCCTCTTGAATGTAAGTTGAATGAAGGCAAGGATTGTGTCTGTTGTGTACATTGCTGTGTTTCCTAAACATTGACGAGTGAGTGGCATAAAACGGGTGCTCATAATAGATTATGGTTTATTGAATATTATGTATATGACATTTTTATATTAATCATTACTTTTAATCATTAAAAGAACTCTAAGAGATAATAACTATAATTATCTCCATTTTATAGAAAAGAAAATAGTAGTTTTTTTGTGTGGGAGAGGGATGTTTAAATAACATTCCCAAAGCTACAAATGATTAATAGTACAACTAATATCCATGCATATACACTACCATCCAAAGAAAATAGTTGTGGACGTCACAAGACTAGTAAGTTTTAAAAAGGAGACAGTGATAAGCACAGTGAAATGAAATAAAAATGAATTAATGTGTAATTCTTAATTCATGAGATTAAGTTCAAAATTGGCCCCTTAGCCATATTTTCAACAAACAAATATTTCACTCAAATGTCATTTAATAGATTCTCCTTCAATGTATATGTGTTTTTTGTTTTCAAAATTAAAATAAAAGTGAAGTCTGTGAACTAAACAATCTGGAAGTTAGTGATAGTAACCCTCAAATTAATGATCCAACCTCATCCAAGCTGGCAGTGATTTAAAGTTGCTATTTGTTTGATGTCTCCTTAGAAGCTGAAATATATTTCTCCGCTTATTTATCCAGTATACAAATAATATTTAATAGTGTTATTTATTATGTATCAATAGCAGTGCACAATAAAGAGGCACATGCCATTTCAGGAGATACACAGCTTAAGTTTTCAGAAGCAAAGAGCATGCATTCTGCACTATGACATCTACACTTGCTAAACTGGCCTGCCAGGCAATTATTGCTCCACCTTTCAGATGAATCAAGCCCCATGATTGGGACTGTGTTTATGGGAGGGGAAACAAATGAATCTGGAAAAACCAAACAAGACAGTTTTCTGGTCTTTCTCCTAACAGTCCTAGGATTGTCACACCACACTAGTATCTCCCTGTCATTTAGTGATTTGGAGATGACAACACATTTTCATGTTTAATCTTCATCACAAGACTGTGAGATTTAACTTTAAGAAGTCTTTGATATGTGCTTCTTCAGTTCTTATCCTGTAGTGAGAAATATCTCAAATAAATGTCCCCATTTGAAAATTGGAAAGTGGAAATGCAGAGAATTTGACTGGCTTTGTCATTTTCACACTGCTAAAAATGATTGAGGCAGGATTTAATGCATATCTTCTTACTCTTGATGCCTGAGCTATTTCCAGGATGTCACAGCTACCTTACCTGGAAGACACAGAGTCTATTGATGAAGAATTTAGACTCTGGCATTAGGCTGCTTGGATTTCTGTATGACAATGGGCCAGTTAGTTAACTTCTCAAAGGTCTATCTATCATCCTCATTTGTATAAAGAGGGTAATAATAATACTAACCTCCAAAAATGATTTTGAGGATTAACTAAACTGAGGCATAATAAGCTCCTAGCACAGCGCATGGCGTGTGGTAAGTGTTTCACACGGGTTAGCTGTTGCTTATGTCGTTATTATCAGACTCCAAGTACATTCACATTTAAGGTATCAACTGGTCCAAATGGTTTCTACTGGATCTTTGTTCATTCGGTTCAAATGTGTACCATCTTTCTAAAATAAATCCATCATCTAAATTATCATAGAGTTGTATTTACAATGTACCCTGCACACCTTTTTAAATGAATACTATCACTTTGTTGATATTTTTAATCCAAAGTAGACTTTAAATAGACTTACAATAAAAAGATATAGTCAATGCAATTAAAATGAATATTATTAACTTTACAAAAAGTAGAAATAGTTATAGATACTAACTTATTCATATTTATACTGATGCATCACTAATCAAAGCTTGGGTGAAGTTAAAAGTACTTTGTAATGAGAGTATTTTGTGATAGGAGCCCTTCATGGAGATAAGGGAATAAGGAATTGTATCTTATGCACCTGCCCTTCTCACTATTCCCACAATAAAATGGATCTACCCTAAGTGAATCATTGTGCAATATATGCACATGTTGAAACAACACATTGTACGTCACAAAAATTAAATAAAATTGAAAAAAATAATAAAAATGGATGTTTCTCTCTTCTTGTAGAAAAGTAATAGTAATATCTTTCCTTTCACCAGCCTCAACTAAAGGCAAAAAAAGACAGCTAATGATAGTGTAATTTTATAAAAAATCATCATAGAAATTATAATACTTGAGCTGGGTTCTGAATGTTTGGCAGAAGTAGATCTTACAAAAAACTGTGAATGGAAAGTTTGATGCTGAAATAATCAGTCCAGAGCATGCACTCTGAGATGCAGCACAAAGCAGATTTTAATATACAGGGTCAACCTGATTACAGAGGTCTTTGTTCATCAAATAAAGTAGTTAATAGGTAATAGCATAACAAGGACATTGATTGATATAATGTAGATTCTCAGCTAATGTTTAAATAGCCTAAAATAAGGAGGCTTTATATAAATAATTATGCTACAACACTTCGCCATGACAAAATGAAACCTCAGGAGCATCCCTGCAGAATGATACATACAATGTTCTTTCTAATTCAGGTATTTAATGGCTTCATAATATTTCATACAGAGATATGTCACAATTTGTTCAAAATTTTCTCTTCTACAAAACATTTAGGTGATGTCCAAATTTCTATGACAAACAATGATGAAGTAAACATAAAGAGATATTCTCACGGTGCCAGCTTTTTTGTGGGAAAGGTACCTAGAGTGAGTCTGTGGGTCTCAGGATTTATGTAAGAACCACATACTTTCCAGAAAGGCTGTAATAATTTACATTCTTAAACTTTTCAATGAATGAGGAAGACTATCTTCGCAGCTCTTTGAATTGGCAATATGATAGACAAAAAATTATATTTCAGTATTATTTTAATTCTCTTTTCCTTGACATAATGAGAAAGATCATCATTTCTTCTATTTCTGACCCTTTGATTCTCCTGTGGAATAACTGTTTATAATTATCCATTTATCCATTGAGTTGCTTATAACTTTCTTTTTGATTTATAGGTTCTGTTTGTGCAATATCAACACTAAGTATGATTCACATATTGCAAATGCATTTTACTGCAGTTTATTAGTTTATTTTCTGACTTTGTGTATGGTATCTTCGGCCATTCCACTCAAGAATTGTCTAATAAAACTGTGTAGTTTTTCATTCTGTGTTTCCAATTTTGCTTTAAGAGTTCACTCCAGACCTGGGGTTATATATCTATTCTCTTCCAAAGTTGTGTTGCTTTTTATTTTTCACATTTAAATATTTACTCTATTTACAATGTATTGTTATGAAGTGCGATAGAGGCCTAATTTTGTTTGTGTGAGTTGAAAATTGTTTCAGTGCCATTAATAAATGAATTGCTTTTCCAACTGAATAAAAATTCCACTTTTTCACATATGAAGTTCTCATTCATAATAAGAAGTAGTTCAGGTCAAAATTCTGTTCAAGCAATTGCATATTTCTTGCTATATTCTTGGATCATATTCTTCATTTTATAATTTCTAGCCATTCATGGATATATATTTCTTCATATTAACTAATATAATAATTTTATCAAGTTCTAAGTAAAAGAAAGATTCTATTGAAATGGTATTAAATGCATACATTTATTTTAAGAAAATTGACATAATTACAATATTAAGTCTTTCTTTCCAGGAACATATTTTCCCATATTTTAGATCTGATTTTATGCCCTATGACAAGGTTTAGTTTTTCTTCTAGTAGGTTTTAATATTTTCTTTAATATATTCATACCTATCATATATTTTGCCACTGTTACTAAAGTCCAGTTTTTTCATTCTATATGTAATCAGTTTTGTTTATAACTTGTATTGCTAATATGGAGAAAATTATGGATTTTTGTATGTGTATGTTATATTAAGCTTTATTAATTCTTCTGAGTCTCTTGGCTTTTCAAAATGTGTGACCATGTAATCTTCCGAACAGAGACAAGTTTGTCATGTTTCTTAAGGTTTTTCTTGATAATTTTGTTTTCTAATCTTAATACATTAGGCAGAAACTCCAAAATAATAATTAATAAAAATAGTAAGAATAAATATTTCGATCTTATTTCAATTTTAATGGGAAACATTTCCAGTTTTTATTATGAATTTTGTGATTCGTTTTTGGTAAATAATCCATATCATATTTAGGAATAGTGATGGATTTTATCAAAGTGTATCAAAGTACACTGTCAGTCATCACATTTAAAAATTATTTGTTGTACGGCATTATAGTTAAAAATATCATAATAATGAAAGGAATTTGCATTTCTGAAGTAAGCCCTACGTATCATATTTAGGAATAGTGATGGATTTTATCAAAGTGTATCAAAGTACACTGTCAGTCATCACATTTAAAAATTATTTGTTGTAAGGCATTATAGTTAAAAATATCATAATAATGAAAGGAATTTGCATTTCTGAAGTAAGCCCTACATTCACATTGTATTTTATTCTTTTCACATACTGTTGCATTCAATGTGCTAACAAGTATTTTAATGGTCTTCTTTCTAGAGAAAGTTTAATTTCATTTTTCTTTTTGTTTTCATCCTTGTCTTAGAAGAATATTTCTTACTTTTTAGCATCTACGATTTTGCTTATTTTTTGCTCAGTTAAAATACAAAAGTAAAGGAGAGAACCACAACAAAGAAAAAGAACAATAATATTTATTATTACACTAATGTGAGTAGGCCAGTGCTCCTAATTGAAAGACAAAGCCGCAGATATCAGCTAAATTAAGGAAGATCAGTGTTGAACATAAGAGTATCAGTAAAATAAAGGGATATTTTGTTTCTTTATTCTCCAGCCTTGAATACTATTCATCAATTCCCTGGTTTCTTTCTTTTTTTTCCTTTTTGTCTTTTTTCGTGACCGGCAACGGATCGCAACCCTCAGTGTCGCGCCCGTACCGGACCGGGACCGGCAACGGGATCGCAACCCTCGGTGTTGCACCCGCACCTCGCTCAGCCAGTGAGCGGCCGGTCTGTATGTGGGATCCGAACCCTCGACGGGAGCGCCACCGCGCTCCCAAGCGGCGCACTGCAGCAGTGCACCACCGGGCCGGCCCTATATGAGGGTATTTCACAAATTTCGTGGAAAAATAGAACTAAAAGATAATACAAATCTTTTCATTAATTTTTTGAAGACCCCCTTGTATAACAACCACTTGTTTTTTGTGCAAGCAGCTCATGTATGAATATGTATGAAAATTTTAGGTTCTAAATTACTGCTGTTGAATAAATTTTTAAACATAACTTTAAATTGCAACTTCCTTATTTTGGTTTGAATTAGAAAGGCAAACAGTCAGCTCATATGAGAGAGATAAATTTGGAATTTATAATGCTGAGTTTTTAATAAAAATGTTGTTTATAGTACATCAGATCAAAAAACTGAAGCTAGGGCTGGCCTGGTGGTGTGCTGGAGGTGCGCCGCTTGGGAGCGTGGCGGCGCTCCCGCCGAGGGTTCAGATCCCATGTGGAGACCG